TTATTTTTCAAATAGAAGATTTGACCCAGGAGGCTCTATTTTAATTCTGACAACTKCAAAATATGGTAAATGGGGACAGTTAGGGAACCTCTCCCTGTGACTCCATTTTATCACCTGTAAAATGTGGAGGAGAGTAGCTCCTTTATCTCAGGGTAATTTTCCCATATTAAATAAGGTGGCATGCAAAACCTAGTAAAGCATTGCTCAACTGTAGCCCATAAAATGCCAGTCAAAAGCCTGCTGAGCTTTTCAATTTTTAGCTACTCAATTTTTAGCCTAAAGTTGGTGAAATCTCAGGATGTCATACTTTATCTTGCAAAACATCTTGGCCTTTCCCTTCTGGAGTTCCAAATTATAAAATATTGTAGTTTGCCATTCCCCAATCCCAGTGTTACTTGACATAAATTAACAAAGAAAAGCACGATCCTTCGGCTGTTCTTATGTACAATGCGTGTTTTCATGCCACTGTGTGAGATCTGCCTCCCCAAACCTTGTTGCAGTGTGAGCACATTACCAGTCAGATGTGAAAAATGGACCAGAACGCTCACCTTTACCTGGGCAAACCCTTGTAGGAAGAACACAAGTTTTAATCAGTGCTATTTGTGGGGAAGCTGTCTTGGTGTAGCTTTAAGAAAGGTCTGGTCCTGCTGGGATGGACCATCAGGTAAGGGGCCCTGGCTCTGGGCAAGTGGTCCCCTTGACAAAGGGTGGGGTCAGGCCTCTTCAGAGCCCTCTTTTGGGGCTCATTAGGATGACACTGAAGTGCCCCATCCCCTGTGCCCACTGCTGTTCCCTATGAGGACATATTCTTGGGCTTTCTCTTCTCTCTGGACCAGAGGATTCCAAATGTAAGCTTCAGACGACACCTTGCCACCCAGCCCACAGCTCTGCATGGTGACCGAAGAGTCTCTAAAGACTACAGTTGCCAAACCAGACTCAGTGTTCACTGTTGCTATGGTTTGGACCCTCAACGTCCCCCAAAGGCACCTGGGTTAAAATCTTGATCTCCAGGGTGTCACTATTGGGAGTCGGTGGGAACTCAGGAACGGGGCCTCATGGGAAGTTCTGGCCCCTAGGGTGTGCCTTCAAAGGGGTTATAAGATGCCAGTTTCCTTCCCTCTTGTCTCAGCCTTGAGATGAACAATCTGCTCTGATATGCACTCCCCACCATGATGTGCCACTTTGCCACAGGCCCTAAGCAATCAGGCCAACTGACCATGAACCAGAATCCCCAAAACTGTGAGACAAAAGAAACCTTTCTTATTTTTCATAGGTTGCTTAACTCAGGTATTTGTTCTAGTGGCAGAACACTGACTAATACAACTATCCCTGGCCTCTCAGTCTATGAACAGCATCCCCATTTGCTGGGTTCCTTCCTCCCCAAATAGGAGTCGCCCTTGACACTTCTCTATTTTGCAAACAGTTCCAGAATCCAACCACCCTGAGTAGTGGGAACCACATCCACGTCTCAGCCATCAAATCTGTCCTGTCTCCTGTTTCCTCTCTTGATCCCCTTTTGCCATGTCGATATGCAGCAGCAGAGTATGTTTGACCATAGATTCTATACTGCAATCATACCAATGGTTTCTCATCTTGTAGAATGAAAATCCACAGTCCTCACAGTGACACAGACTGCTCTGATTTGGATAAGGTTCGTGTGTTGGAAGCTTGGTCCGCAATGCGATGATGTTGGGAGGTGGTGGAACCTTAAGAGGTGGGGCCTAGTGCAAGGTAATTAGGTCTTGGTCTTCCAGAGTGAGTTAGTGCCTGTGAGAGCAAGCTGTAATGAGGAGCAAGCCAGGCTGCTGAATACTTCTGGCTTCCTGTCTCCCCGATGATCTCTCCCTCTCCGTGTGCTCCCATCATTGGTGGGTGGAGCCAGAAAGCCCTTACCAGAGCTGAGCAGAAGCAGTGCCACACCCTTGAATCTCTAGAACTGAAAACTGAGAAACCTTTTTTAAAAATAAAGTGTCCAACCTCCAGTATTTTGTTAAAATAACAACAACAAAAAAATGGACCAACAGAAGTCCTGAACCTCACGTAGAGAATTAGTTACCCTGATGGAAAATCACCCTGTGGAAAGAGGGTTCCTGATAGCCCCAGCCATATTGGATGTTTCAGCTGCAGACTCTATTACCCAGTCCAGATGAGACCTGCCCAGATTGTGAGTCACGTCGAATGCTCTGTTCTTCTGACTCATGTAGTTAGGGCTGTTGGTTGCACAGAAATGGAAGATCGAGATAATACTACTTATAAGAACTGAGGATACTATGAAATGCATAAAAGGAAAAAAATACAATCAAAATATATGTACTAAGAGAGGATCAGATGAATTGTTGAGGAAGTTAGGTAGGCAAATTAAGAAGAGAAAATCTAATAAATCCCAAAGGAAATTCAACTCATAGAAAGGCTTGTGGTTGCATCCCAAATGTCTGCATGTGGTGCTCGGCTTCATGCACTAAAATTGAATGAGACGTGATCAGCTATGAGAGGCAGGRTCCAGAAGGTAAACACACGACTCTCATTGGACTGCACATCTATCTGTCTACACTGAGTGCGTGTGTGACGTGGACTGTGGGAAGCCAAGTGAGGCTGTTTCTGGAAGRCTTTATCGTGTGTGATTTGGTGCAAAACGTCCTTTTATTTTTTTTCTTTTCATTGTGAGATATAAGACACAATCAGAAAAATGCGCAGAACCAAGATATTTATCACAAAGTAAATACCTGTGTAACCAGGTTGAGAGGGTAATATTGCTACTTCCGGRACCTGTCCCTAAAGGTAGCCATTATCCCAACTATGGAAATGGCTTTCTTGCTTTCCCTTAGCAACTAAATGCTAGGGTTTCTTGTAGCTGGATTTTGCTCTTTATCTTAATGGAATCACACAGTGAGTGCTCTGGTGTCAGTGCTCACCACGTAGCTGGAGCTCATTCCTACCTGGCACTACACCTTACAAGTAGATCTGTTACTCACGGACGTGTGGGTCATTTCACACACATCTGTGCATTCTGTTAAAGATGTAGCCGGGGTGAATTTGCTGGGTCCTGCCTTATTYACAACTTTGGATTTAATAAATTGTGCCAATCTGTCTTCCCAAGTGGCTGTACCCATCCAATTTTTTTTTCTGTAGTGCTTGATAGTTCTACCAATTTACACCTCACTGAAGTTGTGGGCCTATCTTTTCCATCTTGGTCTTTCTAACGTATGCAAGCCTAAYGCATTGTGATTTTAATGTAATCTTCCTTGATTATCTATCTTTTTTGGTCCTTTGAAGTCTCTTGCTCAGTTTTCTACTTGGTTGTCATTTTCTTAATTWACTTGTAGAAATCCTTTGGAAGTTAAACATGCAACAATGCAGTCATGTGTCACTTAACAACGGGGATGTTCTGGGGAATGTGTCCTTAGTTGATTCTGTCATTGTGCAAACATCATCAAATATATTTACAGCAACCTAGACCCTATGTAGCCTATTATACACCTTGTCTATATGATGTGTGTGTGTGTGTGTGTGTGTGTGTGTAGTATAGCCTATTGCTTTCAGAGCCATGCTAAATAAAACAACACAACACAAGA